GCCGATGCTCTTTTGAGAAATTCTGCTGGGTTGACATGCTTGTTTGCAGAAACGGCAGAGTACTTTGTCTACATTCTACAAAATCCATACCAAGCTCATGGTGAATACATGTGCGACATGACATTTTTTATGCATTGGAGCCCAGGTGGTCATCCCAGCAGTGCTGCAACAGTCCTGGATGTGTTTCATGAAGGACATTTGGGAGTTAAGAAGATAAAGGAACTTCTGCATGATTATGCTTGCTGGCCAGGGCTGTACTCAGACATTGAGCAATGTATGAAGGCATGTTCAGCCTGCACAATGCATAGAATTACTGCTCCTCTGGCCCCTTTGAAATTGGTAGTCATAGACAGACCATGGCAGAGCATTGCAGAGAATATTACTGGCCCCTCAACTGCACTGCATGATGGCTACACACTGGTTTTTGACTGTTGTAGACTATTATTGACGTTACCCATTTTCATTCATAATTTCACAAGGCACCTCAAAGAAGCTCATTTCTTGCCTAAACACTTTATTCGCAATGTTTGGGGCCTACCAGACAGCCTTGTTTCAGATGATGGGGACACCTTTTGTATCAAGAGGGTTTGAAGGCTTTCTGATGAGCATTGGTATAGTACATTATAAATCTGCTGTGTACCATCTCTAAGGAAATGGGACAGTGGAGAGATTGCATGGGACTCTGAAGAAGCATTTAGCCTGCATATTGGAGGAACGTCGAGGTACACCCTTCCCTATTGCACTGAGTCATGATTTATATATTTGGTGTACTTCATGAAAGTACTGGAGAAGCCCCTTTCTACTGACTCTTCAGCCAACCTGTGAGGACCAAGTTGACTATGCTGATAGAAGAAGGTTCATTCCACCCTTTCCCCTGTAAAAGTTGGATCTCCTACTTTGAAGGGTTCGAAATGCTGGTAACTTGATGTAAATAAGAAAACTGCTCAGGCAATGCTTGTAGCTTGCTAAAATTAAACTTTAATCACTAGAAAGTGTGTTTTGTTTTGTTTGTAACCATATCTGTCTCTTTTTCTCTTATTTAATATCACTTACATTTCTGTTCTTTATTCATAAACTTACTCTTGTTTTATTACAAAACCAACTCAGTGCTATGTATTAAAGTGAAGTGAGTTTTCTACTAACTTAGACTCGTGTACACACTGTCTCTTTGGAGGCAGTGAACTTAATAATTTCTGTGAGTGTCACAGTAATAAGCACTGGACACTGTAGAGAGATGTCTCGGGGGGAACTCAGGAATTGGGTGTATGCTACCTGCAAGGCAAGGTTTAGCCTGGAGAATCTTGAGGAGTTTGTTGGTGGAGCAGACAGGCTAGTGTGCCAGGGAGCTGACCCACAGTCTAATTGCCAGCAAATCTCACTCTAGCTGAGGCAGTGAGGTAACACAGTAACTTACGGCTCTGGATGTCCTGAGCAGAACATCACAATAACACACATAAGGGAACAATGGAGGGAGCTATTAATTGGGGAATTATGGGAGAATGTTCTTGCCTGACTCCAACCAGGCTGGCAAGGTTTCTCTTCCCAGGGCTGCGATGCTAAGAGGATGCCAAAACCTTAAAGATGTTGACACAGAGAAGGCGGGGGTTGAGTGGGTTGTCAGCAGCTGCCCGGGGGCAACCTCTGATGAAGAGACCCACAGAGCCCATTATGTAGCGTGCCCATCTGCTTCTTTCAGCCCGAGGTAACTGGGCTGAATGGAACTTACCAAAGATTGCAATGACAGGCAAAGTATTATTGGTTTTACCCTTTGCTCTACATGCTATGTATCTTTGTGTGAATTAATAAAGCTTTGTTTTGAAGAAGCTGTTTTTTTAAGTCCCTTTAAGGAGCCACAGTCACAGGTGCCAAATACAGGGCCTACAGGTGCCAAATACAGTTGGGCCTGTCATATTTACAGTTGGGAAATGGAGGCTACCACCCAGAGATCCATTTCCAGAGTGGTTGAATAAAACGGTTCCACTTTTGAGAGAGTGAAGGAAGCCAGGAATGTCATCTGAGAGGTGCACTTGAGATGAGCAAAAAGGGGTCTAAGGTGAGTCTTGCTCTGTAACTACAACACAGTGAAACACCCATCTCCAGCAGCCGATGTTACACAAAATAGGTATGAAAGACTAATGGATCTGTTTATTAAACTGAGTGATTAGCATGTGGATTCAATAATAGTGAATGATCTCTAGTGACAGAAAAAGTTCCATAATGAATGTAAGTTTCCAGATCTTCTTGGAATATGAAAGAGAACTGATTACTTTGATAGTCTAGATTTGTTTGGCTCCTGTCCCTTATTAGCAGGACTTTGCCCTCCCTAACCTTGCACTGATATTCTGATGAACTGTATGGTCAAATCAGTGTTGTTTGTATAACTTTGGAGTATATTTGATTTTCTTCTTTTCACTTTCCTATTTCCTTCATATTGTGAATCTCAATATTTATTTTATTTAGGAACTTATTCATCTCTTTCTTTAACTCCTGTGATGATGATGATGATGATTTCATCAATTGAGTCCACTGCTTTATTATCATGTGTCAAAATTAATTTAAACTAAATTTTTGGTTTTGGGTCTCAATTTAGCAATTGTTTTGATTGTATCTTCCTAAGTTAATGTTTTTATCAACTTTGCTATTGCGTGACTTTAACAACTACCTGCTAGCCTAAAACCAATCCAGAAGAAAAGGGAATAAAGATTTGTACCATCCGATGTTTATTTTTGTGTCTGTACATTGTCTAGGCCCTTAATCACATGCTTAAATATATGCCTATTCAGGACAGCACTTAAATATGTGCTTAAAGTTAACTGTGTGTTTACATGCCGTCCTGAAGGGAAATGCTTTCCTGAGTCACAGCCTGGACAGGTGTCCATATCACATAGCAGTTATCACAGTTGGTATTAAGTGGAAATCTCAGCAGAGTTGGAGCAAGAACTGAATGAGTAGGAGCGTCTTACCCCTAGAAGTATCTCCTTCAGTTTAGAGGTGAAGCATATGGGCAGGTCAGTGTTGGAAAGTTTTAATTTCTTTTGTCTTTATAGTACCTTTCTGTGGGTGGCCAAAGGCCATGAGTCTCTTGGACCTTTCATAAGAACAAAATTCATTTTAAAAATGAACAAAGCCACCTCAGAACTAAAACAGAACTTTGCCCTTGCACAAATTCATCTGATCGCTCCTTTTTTAGAACTGTAAATGATTCAATCTGGTCTCTGCAATCTCACCTCTCTTTGCCACTGCAAATAATTCTACTTCCTTTATTTTCACAGTGGTTTAAATAGTTGAGGTGTTTTGTAATCTGGTTGATTCAGTCCATATCCTCTCTCAGTGTTCAAAAATGAAACTTGCCAAGGTACTCCTTGGAAACTTTAGAAGGTACTCCTGATCAGTGACCTACAGAGCAGTGATGATGACCCCATGAATTTCTACATTCATCTAAATATAGAACTCTCCACTCCATTTACCTTTTTTACTTTTATACTTTATTTTCAACCTTGTTCATCATATATCTGTAGTAATCTTGAATAACTTGCTTTTGATGTTCATCAACAATAATAAAGGGAAAATTTTCAAAGCCACAAAGGGCAGTAAGGTACCCAGTTGTCATTGAAAGTCAGTGGGAATGGGGGGCTTTACTCCTATTTATGTCTTTGACAGTCTTCCCAAAATGTTTTGCTCTAATCTTTGAAACATTGTGACAATTTCTTACTGGTGGAATTTTTTTAAATGAATGAATCTAGGAATCAGAACACTGGATATTAGCCCTAAAGTGGAACTTTGTGACCTATAGATTTTTTTTAAAGTGTGGGTCAAATTCAGGTCCTATTCCCTGAGGCATAGACTTATTAATTCTAAGTAATGTTAATGTGGGCCCAAATTCTGGTCTAAGTTTAGCCTCACTAGAGTCCACCATGCAAATTATTCTTTCCTTGTACAGAAATAACCAACAGAAGATGGGGAATGGCCAAGTCAGTCACCACATGCAATAAAATGGGGGTATCCATGCCCTGTGCTTCTTTGGTTTTGGAGAACCTAAACTGGAACACAACTATATGCAGTGATATTCCTGACTATTTTTATGTATACAGTATTAATACTGTATAATACATCAAACCACGCAGGAAATCTATGTCTGGGTGAACCTGGAGGCATTTTGACTTCTAGTCCAGTGGATGCTGAGTAAATTATCATGCTGATGTGTTTGGCCTTTGATGGAAGGAAGAGAGGGTGCTCACTCTGTGACTGTAAATGTCCTGCCAGCCAGATTAACAAGTTGCACTGGGAACAATTTTGTAGATAATCACTTGCCTAATTTAAGTACAAGGTTCAGTCCTGTAATACTTTCAGGCAAAACTCCAATAGAGGTCAATGCCAGGGGCACTTGTGGACTGAGTCAATAATGAATAAAGAGAGAGGCTGGTAAGCCAAAAACACATTTACTAGTTTCCTTCAGATTTGCAGGAGAGCAAGATTTGTGTATTTTCAATATTCTGCCATATACAATAATGAAAGAGGCAGGCAGGCATGGAAGAGGGATGTTGAGATGTGCACTTTACTCTGTGTTCTTGGTGGTGGGGAATGCAGTAGAGAAGCTGCAACTCTTTCTTTGGAGGACTGATGGAATTTTTTCGGAAACAGACAGAAAAATAATATTGTTAGGATAGATTAAATTTTGGGCATTTCAGCTTTGACAAATACTCTGTAATTTTACGATGCCTGCCACCAGGCTAGGAAAGAAAGCATAGCAGCTAGGAGAAAAAAGCAAAACAAAACAAAAATAATGGAGGCTTCAAATGAAATGTTTGGGGAGGGAAATTAAAATAAAAGGCCACCTCTACCAAACCAGCAGGTTATGAGGCTGTGTAGCGGGGCGGTCACCCCGCTCCAGCCCTGAGGAGGGCTGTGGCTCAGGGAGTCAATCAGCTAGGCTGATTGGAGAAGCAGCCACAGGTGGGTCACAGCTGGCCCTATAAAAGGCCAGTGAAGCCAGGAGCTGTGAGAACTTTCTTGCTAGCTCTTGAGGGAGGAGGACCTAGCTGCCTAGGAGCTGAAGGTGCAGGCAACCAAGAAGGGCTGGAGAAAGGTGAGAGGAGCTGGGGTGCTCCCTCCTGGCAACTCCTCAGGCTGCAGGTCTTGGTAAAGGCCTACAAACCAGGTACTGGGGTTGCAGAGGCTGCAGCCCAGGGTAGGCAAAGGTAGCAGGTCCAAACCCCCTTTGCTGATGATGAATGGCTTATATACTGCAGTCTGCCCCAGTGAGCAAGGGCTAAATGGTGACTGGCAGTAACCATATACTGAGGTGAGGTGGGGATAGTGGGTTGGGGGTTCCCCTGGGAGGGGAGACCCAGAGACTGTGGGGGTACTGCCAGGGGGCAGAACCCAAGGGAAAGGGGTACTGGGATCCAGGAGGGACACAGGGGCCAGCGACAGGTGAAACACTGGCCAGCAGGGGGTGCTCTGGAGGCTGGTGAGCTAATTCCCTGGATGACCAGCAGGAGGTGCTGCAGAGGTGAGTCTCACATCGCTACAGGCTGCCAAAGCAAAAAAATGTCAGATGTTCCTAACAGAAAAGGCTACATTATGTTAGAAGGAAATGAATAGAAAGATGCATGAAAAGGCAATTTATGGAATTGCTGAAAGGTGGCACTGTACTGTCAGACCAGTAGTAATACATTACCAAAGGATGCTACCTTTGTTTTCTTGTCTAGCCATGAAAAGGCAAAAGCCACTGTTCTAAAGTATCCAAATTTCTGATAACACATGCAAGACACCTTAAGTAGGGAAATTTCCAGTAGATTTTGGGACATCCATAATAGAAAACCCATCATTTTAGCTCTCTCATCCTCATGGTTGCATTCTGCACAGCCAGAAGTTGTCATTGTAGGGAAGGATAGGAAAAAAAAGTCATTCTGTACATAACTTCTGCCAACAAATAAACTGGAAACAGAGTTGTAGTAGAAATGCTGAAGGCTTTTCCTTAAGCTTCAAGAATGGTACAAACAACTCTTTGAATCTCTAAAAAGTTCATAATTAAGATTGCAAGATTGAATTCCATTGTATCCTGTTCCTCTCCCACAAAAGCATATGAAAATGACCTGGTCATGTCAACATTGTTATTTTTATTGTTTTTTGTTCTTGCTCTTTGTACGGTACAGGGGTCACTTTGCATGCCACATTCTCCTGGATGGAAATCAACTGTGGCAGGAAGGCAGAAGGATAGACAAACAAAATTGTTTCTGTGTACTGCAAGATGCAATTAGGAAAACTGAATGTTAAATTGTTTTGTCTCTTCCCTTCTTGCTGCCAGGAATCTCTAATTAAACTTTTTTTCGTCTTTCTCTCTCTCTGTCTAACCCACTTTAGATTGCAGAGGTGAGCTTTAAGCTCAGAGAACTTGTAGGATTTCCATGGCACATTATTGCACTTATGTTGAACTGTGCTATGTTTTAACTTGCTGGTGGAGTTGAAACGTATTTTCCACTCCCCAGATATCTGCCTTGAATGATCCTAATAGATAACTGAATGCTAGTATGGCCGTAAATATCTCTACAGCAAGATTTCACCACCACAGCTTATTCAGCAGAGTGGTGGTACACAAATTCAAATCATTCAGAATCACTCCAAACTTTGGGTGGGCACCTCTAAGTTTCTTTTTCTCCCTCAGAGTAACCTCCAATTTTCCCCATCGACAACATCAAACTCTTCCTTTTATTCTTGGTTATAAGACAGAAACTCACCATGTTGGATATTATATAATTCCAAATCATGTCTGCTTCCAAGCTATTCTTTTAGTAAGTCTGGATAATTAGTGTTCAGTAATTATGAATCTTGAGTCTGGGCTAGGACTCAGGATTTCACTGGAATATTTTTTTTGCAAAAACCTGATAAATCAGTAGCAGTCTGTAGATATTTTCTAGCAAGAAAGAAGTATCATGAAGCAGAAATTTCACTGCCACCCTTAAAAGTGATACTTCTGGGAGTGAAGTGACAGCATTCAGACAGTGGGTTGCCATTTGGGAGGGCAAGGTTAGGTAAACAAAATACTTTATTTTAATTTAAAAAAAAGTTTTCAGATGAATGTATGTGTAGATTAATAGGCTCTTCTGAACCTATCTAGAAGTATCCAATGTCTCTTGAACCGGGTAAACTGATAAAACCATGATTATCAGTAAAACAGGAAATGTGTTGAGTTTTAGCTAGATATGACTTCATGGTCCAATTTCTTGCTTTTCTAAAGAGTGTAACATAAAGAGACTGATTTACAAAATTAGCTACATGCAACTGCCAGTGCAAAAATGTGCATGCAGCTCTGCACCAAATTTGTTTGTGTAAGTAACACAATTAGGTTAACTACATGAGAGTATGGAACTTTAGATGCTTGCTACCTTTTGTACATAATTACTCAATTTACTTTGCAAATGACATGTACATTTGCAGGTACATTTTGCAAATATAACGGATAATGGTGAATTTTAGGCTGAAAGGTTGTGTCTATGCTACAATCACAAGATGTAATTACAATTTGTGTAGACATATTCATTCTAACTTTTATCTAGCTAGCTCAGGTACCAGAACCACAGCAGTCTGGGCTTCAGTGTGAGCTAATCACCCAAGCAATTATCCAGGATTCCTGGCATGCTTGTACAGCCCATGCTGCTGTGGTGTGACTGCTCCCTTACCTGAGCTAGTATATTAAAGCTAGCTCAGTATGTCTATGCAAGTGGAATCACACACTGAGATTCCTATGTAGACATATCCTGTGTCATATTAATTATGTTTCTAATTGTTCTCAATTCCTGTGATTTTCTAACAATGGCATATGGTAGAAATTACATAGGGTCAAGTCCTGAAGCTCCTTACTTTGTACTTTTACTCAATCTGTGCTCAAGCAAAAGTCCCATTAAAGTCAAATATGGGGAAACGTGGTCTAGATGAAATTACTATAATGTGGGAAAACCACTGGTTGAAAAAACATACTCAGAGTTGTTACCGATGGTTTGCTGTTGAACTTGGCGGATATATGTAGTGAGGTCCCACAGTGCTCTGTCCTGGATCTGGTACTGTTTTTAGAATTTTTATTGATGACCTGGATGATAAAATGGAGAGTACACTTATAAAATTTGCAGATGACTCTAAGCTAGGAGGGATTGCAAGTACTTTGGAGGACAGGATTAGACTTCAAAAAGACCTTGATAAATTGGAGAATTGGTCTGAAATCAACAAGATGACTTTTAATAAAGACAAGGGCAAAGTATGACACTTAGGAGGGAAAATCAAACACACAAGTACAAAATGGGAAATAACTGGCTAGAGAGTAGAACTACAGAAAAGGATATGTGGGTTATACCAGATCACAAATTGAATATAAGGAAACAATGTGTTATGAAAAAGGCACATATGCTGGAGTGCATTAACAGGAGTTTTGGGACATGAGAGGAAAGTCACAAGAAGTAACTGTTTCACTCTACTTGGCACTGATGGCACTGGCCTCAGCTGGAGTACTGAGTCCAGTTTTGGTCACCACAGTTTAAGAAATATGTGGAGAAAAGGTCCAGATGAGAGCAAAAAAAAAAAATTGAGAAAAACTATGAGGAAAGATTAAAAAACTAAGCATGTTTAGGCTTCAGAAAAGAGGATAAAGGAAGACCTGATAAGCACTTAAAATATTTGAAAACTTTTATATATAAAGAGGAAGGTGGATCAATTGCTCTCCATGTCCACTGAAAGTAGGACAAGAAGTAACAGGCTTCATTTGCAAGAAGGGATATTTAGGTTAAATATTAGGAAAAACTTTCTAATTATATGGATAGTTAAGTACTGAAATAGGTTACTGAGGGAGGCTGTGGAAATCCCATCATTGGAGGTTTTTAAGAATAGGTTAGATAAACACCTGCCAGGGATGGCGTAGGTATACTTGGTCCTGTGAACGTGGAGGGATGACTTCTTGAGGTCCTTTCCAGCCTTACATTTCTATGGTTCTGTGTAACGCATGCATAAAATATCACTGAATTAACACTTTTGGATGTTGATGTCTGTTTGCAAACTTGGTGTTTGAACAATTATGCAATAATTGTAAAAATTATTTAATAAATGATAGAAGCACATGAGCAATTACTTTTAAAATTGCATTAATTTAATCTAGGTGAGTTGCTGAACCTTCATTTACAGTATTGCTGAATATGTTAACAGGCAATTAATAGCTGAAACCCAGAATAGGTCTTCTTTTCTTGTATGTGACTGTATTTAAAACAGAGACCAGGTAGGGTGCTCCTACAGAAGCTCTCAGGCACATTCCAAAATTCTGCAGTAGAGAAGAATCACCAGAGAGGTTTGTTACCACTACCAAACACAGTGGTCACTCTGTAGACATTAAGAAATGGTCTCTTTTTGGACTGGAACAGAAAGTTTTTGTATTTAGTTTTGTATTTACAACAGGATATCCCAAAAATGTGTTCTTTACCACAACCTAACAACCTTTTGGGCTGTCTTCTTCAAGTATTAGTTCGTCTGAATAAAACTGTTTTGGTAACATTTGTAACTTTTTAAAAACTATTTCTGCTTCACATCAGAAAGTTATGCTGATGAGGGAAAACAAAAATCTGTCCACTAGGATGGAGCAGTGGGGGTGTAGGCCTTTATATTCTTGCCTGAACACTGTACATTATTATTCATATGAGCAACTATTGGGGTTTCTTCATATTTATTTATGCTACACTGAAATAGCATTTCTTTCCTCTCACCCCCTCCTACTCCTTAGAACAGAGGTTCTCAGCTGGGAGGCAGGCACCCTTGGAGAGGCATTGGACTTCAAGGGGGGGATTCATTGAGGCTTCTGATGTGTCTGCCCACATACATTTCTACCATAACCACAAACTCCACTCAGTCAGGTTTGGCCTAGCTGTCCCTCTGTCATGACAGAGGGCTGGCCATGCCAAATTTGAATGAGTGGTGTTGCGACCTGCCACACCGGATTGCAGTGCCACTCAGGTTTGGTCCTGCTGCCCTAGCCAGAATCTGTTTCCCTAGGAAGCTGCCAAGTTTGCCTATAACTAGAGTGGGCCCTGTGAAGAGGCAAAAACTTCT